GATTCAAGCGGTAACATCAAATATGACCATAAAGTTTGTTTATTCATTGTTTTGACAACGCAAAGACGCCACGGGCACATTTTGTCTTCCGCAAAGTTTTTTTTAAATTTTACCAAAAACCCAGTAAATTATATTTAACTTCTAGAAGCTAAACTCCTCAAAAAAATTAAGCGCGACGACGGTAGTGTAAAATGTACGTGAATTTGTATGTTTTAGACATAATGGTTATTATTTGACGCCATGACTGACGCATTTCTCGCGCAAAACGCGCATGGCCGGATAGCGACGAGCTTTGGAAAGATGTCTGGCAACACGGATCTGGTCGATGTTTCTCTCAACTATGGTGGCTAGAATTGGGAGGTGACGCCAACGGGAGCTCGGAGCCGCTCCTTCGTTTCGAGCAGCGCGGCGGTGGCGCTGTCGGCGGAATGGTGATGCTAGTTACGCGCGCGCGCCTTGAGCGCGCGGACCTTTCAAAGATGCTGTTGCTGAAGCATGATTCAGATAAATGGGCGATTCAGATAACTCACTGTGACGATGGCTGATAGAACGCCATTTCAAGCATTAAAAGAAATTGGCTGCCGCTGCAAGACTTCTGTGACGTTGAATCTGCGCAAATTAAAGCTTTCGTTCGCATATCCCTGCAGTGTTTTGGAGTGCAAGGCGACGGCGTTTTTTTAAAAAAAATATTACCAAAGTTCTGGGCGAGGAAATAAAACAAATATTTATTGCACATCATATTATTAGGAAGATCTATTGCACATCATGGAATACAGGGTAAAATAAAATAAAATGAAAAAATACGCACATTTACATACGCTCGGGAGTAGTTAAAAACATTGAAACATTGCACACAGACAGCGCATCGCTTGGCACTAAGTAATAAGAGGCATACAATCACTTTCCACTCGGCAAAAAAAAATCAATAGAGCTTAAAGTTACAATATCAAACTCAGAGCACGCGTCTAAGCTTCAGCAATTTCATTCTTTCCTGCTTAGCGTTTCGTTTGCTGTTCTGGGCTTTCACATGAAAGTGGAGCCTAGTAAGAACATAAAACTTGATAATTTTGTTTGTGAGGGACATACTGTGGTCAGGGCAGCCAACAAGTGTAAGCTTTCTTAACTGCAAGAAGGAAACCAAGTCCATGATGCTGTCAGGTTTGACTTCTGTAACACTGAAGCAGTGGGTAAAAGTGTTCTCGAGAGTGGTCACGAGTTCATTGAGCTTGACTGATGGGTACAGCAGGCCTCCTCGGTCAACAGCAGCCGTGAGGGATGCTGCAGCTGGAGATGGATCGTTCTCGCCTTGTAGGAGCTGCTGGCTGCACTCTGCACATTTGGTGCTTGCAACGCTTTTTCTTGCCACATATCCAGCCATGTAGAATATGAGTCTGGCATCGCTGCTTTGCACGACCATGTCTGCATGCTCGGTGCCGTGGCCGTATTCATTGAGCACTTCATGTGCTTCGGCAAGGTTTCCTACGTCAAGAAGCTCGTCTAATTTCCTCCGAGGAGTGAGGTCCTTTCCGTTGTCAGCTCCCAGCAGACTTCTCAGCAGTCCTGAGGACACATTGCTTCCTTTCGGTGGTTTTGCCAAATTCTGGAAGCTCAAAGTGTTGACCGAGATTAGGAACTGGGAGGCAGTCGGATGATCATTGCATCCAGACATTTGTCGGACGATTCCAAACAGCCTCTCCAGGGGGTCCTGACTCAAGCGGCATGTCATCATATAGCTGAAGTTCAACTTCATCGTCAGGTAGCGGAGAAGGTGTAGCGTGCTTGATAAGGTAACACGAAGCCCCTCGGCTGTACTGCGGCTTAGGAAACCTCCGGAGCCAGCAGCTGTTTCCCAATCGTCCAGGTAAGTCAAGAAGTTTTGAATGCACTTCTCGTGCATCCCTCCAGGCTTAAGTGCACCCGAACTGCACCTTGAAGTCATGGCCTCAATGAGCCTTCTCATTCTTTCCACAAAGCTGACTGTCGCCGCTGTGCTCCCATGCTTTTCTTCGATGGTTGCATTGTACAAGAAAAGGCCTCTGAGGACTTCATCACTGTAAAGCCGCACTGCATAATTTACCCTCATTTTCTCAAAGCCATTGGGATGCACAACCGATTTGCTAATATGAGGCATGGCTTTGAGAGTCGTGTCATGCTGTTCATCAAGCTTCCGGGCACAGTCAATAGGGTCAACACTGGCATGGCCTTCTGGCAGTTTCACGCCCGTTCGAACAAAGGTGTTCCTCACACATTTAAGAAGGTGTGGGAAGTCCGAGATGAAGTGCAGAAAACGTTCTGGGTCTGTAGGGTGCTGCCTTCCACATACTGTGTTTTCTTTCCTGCCGTGTATGCCGAATGAGTGCCACATGCTTCTGTTCCACGCAGCTCCATCAGTGGTGATAAAGTCTACGTGCAGACCGGCGTTTTCGCTCATGACTACTGCTTCGAGGATTATTTTGCCTAACGTCTCGGACTTCACATTGCTGCGTGATGCGAACACACCAATAATCTGGTGCCACGTGCCTGTAAAAGGCACGAACAATACTACAAGGCCATGGTCACATGCTACGGAGCGCTCACTCTCTGGTGTGAACTTCCCAAGGTCCACAAAACCTTCGATGGTGCCATCGGTTCCCAAGCTCAAGTGTTCAGATAGCTTAATCTCATCAATTAACAGCCCACCATGGCGCTGGAACAAGTCCATAGATTTTGTTTTTTCCGCCACAGCAGCAAACACTTTTTCGCTCAGGCCGAATCCACTCCTGTAACGCTTGAGATATCGACGTAGTGATGTTCGAGAAGGCAACGCCATGATGTTGTTTTTGCGTATATGCTCATAGAGGCGTGGGCTTTTCATGGACATAATAAGGCACTCTAGAGCTCATTCACTTTCATACTTCATCCCTTTCGTGGATTTTCTTTTAGCCGCAGCAAAGCACGCCTTGACTTGTTGCTGCTGCTTAATGGGTAGGGCCTTCACCGCTTCTTCAAATGCTGTAGAATCATTCCGTGCATTCTTTTCTTTCATTTGTTTGATGAGTGATTTAGCCTGCAGGACACTCAGGCGACTCCTTTTCGCTTGCGCTGTTCGCAGCTTAAGCCTGTATGAAAGCTTTTGGGACTGGGCCACATTTTTGCCTTTTCTTCGCCTGTAGGACTCACGATTCAGGAGTAGTCTTCTGAGGTGCTTGCATTGTGGGCAGGCTTTTTCTGGCGTTGGAGCAACCCCACGGCAAGATGGGCTGAAGGTTCTGCCATCAAAAGTCTTCTCCTTGTACTTTAAATTCACTCCAAATTCACCAGTTTTACCAAACCCTCTGCATGGTATCATGGAGTCGACGTCGCGAAGCAACTCTTCTGCCATTTCGATGTCGGTAATGTCAAGGGTCTTTATTTTTGTGGCTTGCACAAAAGCTGTCGCTTGAAGTTTGTTTTCATCTGATGTCATTAGCACATACTTGTCAATAGTCAACTTGTCACCATCTAGTGCGCAAACTGTAAACACCGTGGCGTTGTCGGCTCCAGCAATTAGATGTCGAGCCCAGTAAGCGCTGGGAAGACCACACTTGCGGACGTCGGGAATTGCGGGCACATTCGGAACAGGTATTTGGTTACTGTCGCTTTCTGTGCTGTACGAGCCAGCTGTCTCCTCGCAAGCAGACGTGCTTGGTTCCTGACGCCGAATTTTCGATGGTAGGCCGCAAGTGGATGTTCTTGACGTCCTTTTCTTCGGCACTTTCTTTGAAAGATACGCAGGAACATTTGGGAATATGGTTGGCACCGCGTCAGATTTCAGCACCGGTTTCCCTCGGGGAATCTGAACAGTTTCGCCGTTTATCACATGCGTGTAAAAACGCTCAATAAACTGCTCGTCGAAATGAAGCTCACATAGCGCCGACTTCACGTCCAACGACTTGTCGGCACGGGGTACGGCTCGTTGCCAGGCTTCGAAGAGGGCAGGGTCTTTGGGAACAGAGAAAAGAGAAGCACGCTGACCTTGCTCCCTCGATGACACATAGCCGCTCGTGCAGCCAGGAGCAAAGCAGTGGCGTTGCCTCGCTTTCGTAGTGCTGGAGTTCATCCTAAGGTCGGCACTCACACTGTCATGTCAGCAACTAAATACATTTTGCCATAAGCGAGACATCAACGCGGAAAACTGCACACACCCAGACACGCTTCCAGAGGCGAACCAGCGAACCCAGCGGCGAGTCGACGAGAGAGCGCGGAGCGCGCGCTTCGCCCGCATCACTATGCCGACAGGAGCGCCGTGGTGGCCGTCGCGGCGGCGCTTGAAAACGAGGATCGCGCGCGCTCGGCGAATATGCGGGCGCTGGCGTCACCTCCCAATTCTAGCCACCATATCTCAACGTTGGTTTCTCTCCCTATTTTGTGCTTTTTGTTTCTTCTGTGCATGACCTACTACACTCCTGACCTGTTCAGATAGCGGGGTTCCTATGGGAGCGCGTGTCCCGCTCTCGTTCAATCGCTCGCCGTAGGTGGCGCTACCTATAAACCTGTTCGTCTGCTTCTTTACGGTTGTTTTGTAGGCGCTGGTATAAGAATGCCTGCTTTCTGTGGTGAACTGTCGGCATATATGTGACTATTCTTCCCATACATTGCTGGTCAAGTAAGCTGTTCAGTGCGCTTAAGAATTTATAGCACACTGGTTGACAAACGTGGAAACCCGTGGATTTACATGATTTTGGACAGCCTATGCGTTGTCGCGTGCATTTTATTGCAAAAAAAATTCTGAATGTCTTTTAGTATTATTATTTCTGGATATTTCTAAATTGTGGATCATAAATTCGCACTACGAGTGCTTTGTTGGTTAAAATTTGACTACAAAGAGTGAAGGTGACGTCAGCGAACAGGTGCTGCCTAGCGCCACGCCGCTCGTAGGTGACGGCCCTAGCGGCAGAAGGTATGAACTAGAACGTGGGCGCTGGAAGAGGTGCTCTCTGGGCAGGTCAGGAGTGTAGTAGGTCATGCTTCTGTGCTTAGTGGTTCGCTTGACGACCGCTGGGGGCCTGACGTGAAGCTGCTTCTTGCGCTCAGCTGTGCTCTCCCTGCCGGACTTCACGTACGCAGGGGGTGGCAGAAACGCTTTTTTCCTCGAGTGGGCGGCAGGGTTTCTATCCGGAAAGGAGACGCTCGCTGTATTCCAGGGAGCGTCGTCTCGCCGGTGGAAAAAAAATGAACTCCAACGTGGCGTACAACGGAGCGCCGGGTACTGCGCAAGCCGGAGTGCGGGTGAGTAGGCGCACGTACAGTACGCGCCGAGCCTAACCGCTTGTAAACACCAGCGCTGCCCGAAAAAACGGGCCACCTCACTCCGACAGCGCGAGTTTTAAAAACATGGCTGGGATCTGCAGTCGTAGATCGACAACAGTGGAATATGTTGCATCTCGAAGTGTGCGGATGTAATGCTGTGTGAGACGGCCAAGGTTTCTGTCCGATCTTGTAATTTGGAGCAAATCCTATTGCAGAAATTAGGATTTTTAAGCTGTCGTTGTGACAGTGTCAATTTGCCTTGCGAGTGCCCCTAGTACTCAGTATTTGTGGTTGATCACTCGGGCTGTGTTCACACGTGCGTCCGTTTGCCGGTATTCTGAGTTTCTTTACACTGTTAAACCGTCGCGACTGAAACCGTGCTTACGCGTTGCACACTGAAATACCACCTTTTCTCTCGTCTGTATCGTGATTTTCGTTTTATTGCGCAAGCGTTCGTGACTGCCCTTATTAAAGATGCCGCTTTCGGTTGTTTCAATATTTTAATTGTGTAGCAGTGTGACGTACGTACAGGTGGTTTGCTCATTGTGTACTTAAGCAGTAAAGGCATGGTCAGCTCATTTTTTTTCCCCAGCATGTAATGCAGGTACGTCGTCATAGAACGAAGCCCAGGTTTATTCATGAAACTGTAATGAGCTACGTAATTCAAATTACAAGAAGTAATAAAGTTTTAGAGCTTAGGATTGGTTGGTAAATTGTATAGGCTAGTTTGAATTGCCGTGACAAAAGTGAAAGTTCGTCGTGCGGAATGCCGTCTGACCATTTAAATGACGAATTTCCACTTACACAATGCGATACATCTAGTGGAATACCCCTTTGATTTCATTCGATGCTCAGCAGAAATGTATGCGTTTATATGGGCGGTTTTCGCCAAGTGTAGTGTTAAAAGTGAAAGCTTCACTTCACTGTTCTAGCGTCTTTCCTGAATGTTTCGGTTGCTCCGGATCGCACGAACTGATCGGTTGTTCAGTTTAATCTGGCCGTTGCCTTCAATCGACAGTGCCTTTCGCGGCCCTGGCAAATCTCTGCAACGCGTAGTCATATCAGCCTAAAGTTTGAAGGGATAATTAGAGTTAAAAAAAGCCTCTGAAAGGGAGGGAGTGGCGTAGAGATTTAATGAGCTGTTAGGCGCACGTGCACTACTGCTGAAGAGTGCGAGAACGCTCATCGGCAACGGACCCTATGCACTCGTGATTCTGCGCGCCGGTCTCTCACTCTGGTTAACCAAACCATGTCCGACTGCGCTCTCGGGAGTCGAATGCTGCTTTGAGTTCCTTCTAGGAAGAGGGACGCATTATTGATCATGCCGTATGCGTTTCATGTCCACGTAAAGCGGTGCGAGTCTCGGAACTGTTACGCACATGCGCAGCACCAATTCTTCGTCGGGTGTTCTGCAGAAAATCGACTCCTTTCCCACGGGAAAGGAACCCGACCGTGGTGGCGTCACCATCCGCCTCGCTTTTGCGTCGGCCAAGGATGGACCCATGCTGGCCCATCACATCATTGTGAGGGCGCCCACCGGGGAGTCAGTCTGATTGGCCCTTTCCAGCTATCTCGTTTCTTTAGCTCTATATATCCTGTTAAAATACCCCCACCCCCTTACCTTCAAGATTTGTCTTAACCGCATTATGCTCACTACGGCGGTTTTCAGGATTTGTCAAAACAGACGGCTGTGACGCAACAGCCTATAGCATGTGGCCGCACGGATGCGTGGAACTTTACAAATGTTTTGCGTTTCGCATCCAAGTCACTTCACACCTACTCCGGAAATAATCCAATTTTGTGAAGCGAATATATAGAGCATGACGCGAAGGGCAATGCGGAAAGTTGTAAAACGGAGTTGCGTAATTTTGTAGTTCTAAATGGAGACATGCATTCGTTGGTCAGTCACTAATCTCAGCTTACTATCTCATGTATATACGAGGGTCCTCGGACCACCACAGAACTGAACATCCACAATAACTTGCCATTATGTGTCATTTTAATGTAAACAGGCGCGATGAACGTCAGCGCAGATTTAATGCTCGTGGTCTTTCTTACTATTTATCATGCCGTTCTCACTTCTCATAGGTGGTGTGCATGACCTTCTTTTCAGCCGCTTTAAAACCGGAACAATGAGTACTTTTGGTTTATTTATTGTTTAGGTATTTAATAGTTTGGCTTCTGCGCATGTAATTTTTTTTTTCCTTTTCGCAAAGATTCCACTCATCGAAGGATGAAACAGTGGCCGTCATAATACGTGCGAGTGAGTTCGCCAATTTTCTTGTGGCATCACAAACGGATGCTCAAATTGAAGTTTCAGTTGTGCTGTACGTGGTGTTTCGGGTTTTGAGAAGGAACATCATTCTATATCTTTTAGAGGGCCCAGCGTTCAGTTGGCTGCTTTTTGGTCGCTCTGGTTCGGTGATTGTCTGAAGTAAATCATCGTAGAAGTCATTTCGGCAATAATAATAAGTAGTATTGCTAATAGTAGTTCCATCCTTACAGTGTCCAACTTGTATAAAAAAAAAAAAAACTTCAAGTTTTTGCGATGTACGGGTCGATATGCGGGATGTAAAATAATAAATCTGGAACATAATACGATTGTGAGAGTTACACTGGGTTCGGTCATTATTGCTCTTCCGAAACTAACACAATTGTTAAGTGATAATTACTTGGCTTATTAGAAAACAAAGTTTGAAATATAACAATTTGGCTGGCGCTGGCTGAGGACATTGTAAATGACCTCAATTTTCTCGAGTATTTTTTTTTTATTTTGTTAACATTTCAAGCATACATGTTAGATGAGCTCCAGTTGTGGAGTATCGTACAGGATTTTTCGCTCAGGTTTGCGTTGTACTCGCGTGCCTTGCCGTTACCCGAGTGCTTGATTGACGGATAATACGTCGATAATGAAGTTGGCCTGCTTCTTAAACACCTACTGAATGCGAGTTCCTAGTATCATATGGCAGAGAAGGCTATAAGAAGCTATGACAGCAGACAACAATCAATAAAAATGACTGTGAAGCCGTATTTACACGTTTGAATACTTTAACGCAATTCAGAACTCGAAACCCGCATCACATCGAAAAAGTTCTCGTATCTCGCGCACCTTTACGACGATAATAAACACGGAAACTACACGTCACCACGTGGTTGCACTTATTTGTTGTTGAAAGAGCGGTAACATCTCCCGCACGTAGTTTTATGGAGGGAGCAGTAAACAGGATGAGATCGTCGAAATAATTGTCTGAACTGATCAATAACTTCGGAATCTGTCAATGAAGGCGCGTCATGCGTTACTCAATATCAGCCATTGAAATATTAGCTGCGTACTCGACGCGTTAGCTGGGCAACCCGTTTGCAATAGTCGCGGCTTGCACATGCATATCGGATGAACGTTGTCTTTTTTGTTCAGTAGGCGATGTCTATTCGACATCTTCGACTATACTGCGTTGTGGTGTAGAGTCGAATACGAATGATTATTCGACTCGTGTTCAACGGTTCAAATATTCGCGGACTCCACGCTGATTAGGGATTTGTTTTTAGTTAGCATATAGATGTCAACTACAAAGGTACTTTCTAAAACGAGCCGACCTCGTTGATTTTTCATCGGAGGATTTTCTTTCGAGTTCTCCCGTCACGTGTTGCGTAATTTGATTTCTTTATCGATGTCGCACTTAGAGGCTGACATTGTTTGAACGAGAATAAATATTTTACTTAACAAGGTTTCGTTTATAAGAATTAAATTAATTTATTTGCGACATATACTACAATTTAGAAAATTGTAGCTTAATTTATTAATTTATTCGCGGCATATACCACAGTTTAGAAATCGCAGCCACTCGGAGTGAATATAATGCTGACATCAGGTTTGAAATATTCGTCCCCCCAAGTTTGCCACGAAAATACATGCATTCCAGATAATTCTCAGCTTCAAGGCATGTAAAGGCGTGTTCTTCTTTCGTTTTTTTTAATGTATAAAGAGCGACAGAGAATTCTTACGATAAGTTTTGTAGCGCTAATATACTAGTTACAAAATTAATTTCCTTGTGAAATCACTAGTTTTGATTCCTGGTATATATGCGCTAAATTCAATAGATCAATGGTTCATTAGATATATTTTGTCATTTATTTATGATATACGTTATGATTCGCTTTTCTGAGTAATACAGCTCAATGCATTGTACTGCATGCCATAAGTGAACTTTTCTGAAAATTATGTTAGCACAAAGGAAAAAAAAAAACACGTTTTCAAGATGTTTCGAAGTGCGGCATGATTTCCGCATCATTTAATGAATACGAGGTCTCGGCTTCGCTTCGTGGCTGGCGGCTGGATATTGAGACAGCGATGGTTGGCGGGACTCTTGAAGGCTCATGAATCCATAGTGCTGTATGGGTTTACGTATGAGAATATCGGAATGTAGTGGGGGGGGGGAGGGGGGGAGGAGGTCTCAAAATAAAATGGTGCCTCCGAGTGCCAGTCTGTAGGACATTTTTTGGTGTTCGCAGCCCCATGCACCTGTAGTTCGCCATGTTCCTTTACAGACGCAGTCAAGTGTGTCAGTGAGAGTTAAAGGGGTGGTGGGGAATGGTATAATTTGGCACGTTTGCTCACGGCTCCGCGGAGCGCATATATATACTTATATATATATATATATATATATATATATATATATATATATATATGTATAATATATATATATATTATATTATATATATATAAATAAATAAATATTAGAGAGGGACAGGGGGTTCATATCGTAAAAAATGGAACATTCCTTGTATGTACGCCGAAGGGCGTCTCTCATATCATATATTGGTTTTGGGACGTTAAACCCCACATATCAATCAATCAATCATGTACGCCGAAGCAGGCCCGAGAGGTGCTTGCAGAATTTCGAATTAAATTATTTAGGTAGTCGCTCTCGTATTACGCGTCTTCATTCTCACGCCTGGTATTAATTTGTGGGGAACGCGCC